AGTTGCTTCCATTGATTAACTTCATTCTTATTAAAGTTCAGAAGGCCAATTCCCTGGTAGTCAGTCTGTTCACCCATCTTCTCGATAACTGTCATTACATCATCCCAATTAACGTCTAAATTCGATACGTATTGAGGATCTGATCCTCCCCATATCCATCTGTTCACAAAATTTGATCTGCAGTGGATGAACATTGCATTAATCAGTAGATTATTCTTGTGTGCTAACAGAATCAGAACATTCACTTCAGACAGGTGATCAGACTTACCGGTAATTATACTGTGATGGGTGATTATGATAGGATTCTGGAGAGCAAAGAATGATTAAAAAGGTGCCCAAGATAGTGAAACCCAGGACAAGTTTCAACAAAGGAAACTTGCAGCATGAACTTCTATCTTGGAATGGGATGTGCAAGGGCTTATCAACACTTTTGACTTTGCTTCTTTGTATCCTCTTTTTGTATATATCCTCACTGGTTCATGTAAATTCAAAGTAAATAAGAAAGGAAAGAAACTAAATTGTATCAAATGAGAGTCACTGTTAATATTTGGAGCAAAAAAGCAGTTCTGAATCAAAACCCTCATCAATGAATCAAAGCAAATTTTAATATGAGATAAACTTGAGAGAAATCATGGAGGAGAAAACCCAGTAAGAAAGTGTAAAACTTATTTTGTTTCCAGATTTTAAAACCAAAAAAGACATTGTATAAATTCATTATTACTCATTGAGAGAATCATTCCTCCACCACGAAATTGAGGAAAGCAGTCCATGGCTGTATTATTCATGCCAGGACCTGGGAAGCTAGAAGATGAAGGCCACATTCTTTAATGTTAGGTGGTATATATGGTTCACACGCTAAGAACTAAATACAATTGCTTGATTTTGAGGGCTCTAGAGGGGAAGCATATATACTACTTTGCAATCTCACACTGAGTACTTGTACATCAAGTTGAAAGGCTCTGAAAATCAATTCTACATATACAACAGTGATTTCAATTTCTTATTTCTGAATAGGAGAGAAATTTTAAATTATAAATTAAGAAAATAAATAATTATATCTAATTATGGGCCTATAAGAAATTATATTATTATTTCATAAAATTTATATGTTTATCATATAATTTAGTATAAATTATTAGGTTGTTTTGTAATTATAGAAAGAGTAACCCTTTATATAAAAGTTAATTGTTGAGATTTAGCTAAAACCCCACAAAACCCTAAGAAAGGAAGAGAAGAGAAAGAAAGAAGAAGAAGAAGAAGAAGAAGAAGAAGAAGAAGATATCTGCAACAAAAATATAAGTCTCACAAACCCTAAATTAAAATTCTATTACATGACACTTACACATAGAAACTTAGAAAAAAAAAACTATATATATGCAAAGAAGAAAAGTGTGTACCAGTAGAATTTTGGCCATGTTTTTTATTTTTTTGATCAAGTTTTTGATACTAATCTATTTTATTTATAACTTACACATTCTAAAATTTCCATATATATTAAATTAGAATTGAAGAAATAAACTTTTGAAAACCTAAGATTACATAAAATTGTGAGCAATGCAGTAGTAGGTTTTTCGGTTGTTTTGTGATTCCTCTGGCTAAATTTTGACTATTAAACTAATTTATTTATAATTTATACATTTTAACCTTTTCATAGATACCAAGATTGCATGATTGACTAAAATTAAAGAAAATAAAAATTTTCAAAAATCTGAGTGTTGTTGCAGAACGCAATTAGTTGTTTGAAATATCGAACTAAATGAAATATGGAACTATTTTATGCACAATCATGAATGATCAGATAGGAAGTAAACTAGTAGAGAATATTTGAAAACATAACTTGGATTGAAAGAAAAGTTATTGAAGCTAATTTTGCTTCCAGAACAGTTTCTCACTAAACCATGTAAGTATAATGAACTTGGCCATGAGAAAAAATCCAACTGGTTCTTTGACTGAAACTTGCAGGCCCTTAGCCCTTTTTTTTAATCCAAGTAGAAAACTGACTTGTGAGTGCTAACTAGTTTAATTAACAAAGACTAAAGCATCTGTTGTATGAGATCACAGATCAAATTTCATTAAATTTTTTACTAGAAATGTTACGTAATCCATCTGTTTGATTAAGAAAAGAAAGAAGAAAGAGACTAAAATAGGAAAGTAGAATTCAAAGATTGGTGGGTGAATTGCATAACTCAAAGCAAGTAGAAAGAAATATTATGATTCTCAAGTGAAAGAAGAACTCACATAGAAGCGGATAATCGGTACCTCGGCTCAGAAGGAGCAGAGGAATTAGTCATTGCACCTCTCATTCTAATTTGTCACCAACAAAAGGCAGTGCAACATCTAAAATCAAGGCAAAACCAGGTCATTCATTCATCAAGCCATTACATATACCATCTCTTGAACAAACTGTACATGTGTACATTATTATATATGTTGATCAACAAGAAACTGAGAATTTGACACAAATCTAGAAAACCCAGAAACCAAGTAATGAGACCCAGATGATAAATTTTCTGAAAAACAAAGCATGTATTGAAGTTAGATGGAAGTGCATACCTATGGTTTTCTGGGAGAAGGTATGGTGACTGTAGAAAGTTAGTGGAGAGAAGGTAGGTACAGGAAACAGAGAGGAGATTCAAGAGTCAATATAGACAAGAGTATCGTCTAATTGAATTTTCTTTCAACTCAAAATAATTTTTCTTTTTCAATTTTTGTATCTTTGCTTGGTACCAAACTTTTTTATTTTCTATTTTGGTTTTTTCTCCAATTTTGTTGGTGTTTTTTGCCACTCCAGGTTTGCTTGCCGTTTGGAATTCTGGAGACTCCTTTTGCCAGTTGCTTTGGTACTGAATATCCTCAATGCAATATATTAAGAAAATAATTAGTGTAATAATTATGTTAACAAAGAATAATTATTTTTAATATTTTTTTTATACTGGACATATGGATAACTTCATTTCTTACAACAAGAATAATCATATACCTTTATAAATAAAGATGTGTATAATAAATATATACAAACCCTTATGAACAAAAGTGAATTTCTATTGTAAAAGAACAATATCAATGTTTTTGAACAAATTATTAAATTAGTTCTAAAAAATTAACGTTTAAAACAATTTAATCTTCAATGAAATCAAAATTACAGTGATAATCCAATGACCTAGTGCCAATTTGGGGTAAGTTTACCCATTTGATATTCTACTTTGTCATATTACCTCTAAATTTGAGTAGGTAATTGTTCATTTTAATTATGGGATTAGGTTAATGAAAATAATTGATTTGGTATGTGAGTTAGGAATAATGGTCCTTGAATATGCTCAAATGTCCCATCTCACTCACCTGCATGCACTGAAAAAACATGTTCTTCTTATTGGGGACTGTTGCAAACTGCCCTAACACTCTTAATTAAAGTCACAACCTTAGATAATTAATTATATATTTAAACATATATGTATACAAATAATTTCAAATAATTGACTTTTATTTTTTTTTTTTTTGGTTATGTTCAATTTTCTTGTGGGCAAAGCAATATTAGCAAAGGGGCAAATGATATATCAACAACTGAGTCACCAAACATATATCAACAGTAATGGTCAAATCCTTAATTAGAAGGTTAACTTAATAAAATTGGATTAGCATAAAAATCACCAAAATGAAATCAGTCTTAACCCACCTTTGCATCCAAGTAGAAAGAATCATTATATAAGGGTGGGGGGGGGAGAAAGAACATTGGAATTGGATTAATTAAAAGTTAATTGAATGATAATGCACCATCATGAAGAAATTTCTAGGAATAAGCCTTTCAATATGGAAAATTTGCTTTAAGGCAGAAGCTTCGCATGTGCTGTGACAACTAAAAATTATATATATTGTAAACTGAAAAAAGGTGGGAGTTTGGGTATATGATGGCAGCCTTGCACCAATCGCTACGTGTGTCTTTGTTACTCCATCTCATGCATTATATTATATTATGTAGATTCATATAACAATACATTCGCTTAGGTGATATATAGATAACTATTTATTTGTATGGTTCTCTAACAAAATGGTATAAAATATAGTTTGTTATTTCATGGGTATGCGTGTGTGTGTGTATATATGTATCTGAAACAAAGACATGACACTATATGTATGTATGAGGTGTATTGTATTTGAAGCAAAGCAAAGAGGAGTTTGGGATTTCGTGTGAGTCACAGCTTTCCTGATCAGTCATGAAACCATTATGGAGCTTAACCTATCAAGTTGACGTTAACACTTGGACCACTTGGGAGAACTGACCCTCACTGAAAAATTATTCCTGCAACTAATAAACTCATCTAAGCATCTTTCTCTGTAAATATATGTGTTGGTAGTGTCATATAGCTTATCCGAAATCTTGAATTCTGGTCAATTGAGTCAATTAGCTCTGGGGTATTTTGTAATTGACATTTGAACTAGTTTTGCTCATAGAGTATGTTTTTGATTTAGGGTAGACTAATTTATATTGTGAGGAAAAAAGGAAACAACAATTGGATATATATATATATATATATTTACAGCATTGACCTACTTCAAATTGAAGAAGGATTCAAACTGGTAAATGCCCTTGACATAAAAAGCATTATAAAACCTGGGTGTCGATCTTGGGTTACACTAATGGGTCAACAGGAAAGATCTTTTGAATTGAAGAATTAACTTATGCTGCTTAAAAGAGTAAACCTGAAAGTTACAGAACAAGGAGAACTTGAAGAGCTTTCCTCGCTCTCCAATTCAAAACTCGACCATTGGGCCGGTTGTCTGGTTATAAGAGCTCACAATTCATTTTAGTATCTTCCGTACCATAGTCGGTAGGAGCTTTTGACAGAGAATTAGCATGTTTGTTCCTCTACCAAAAATTTATAAATGTAAAACAGATTATACATAACCAATAAAAAGTTGGTGTTGTAATAGAGATATATGTATCACTTAATTAATGAAATGTATTTTGTCTATTAAAAAAATCAGCTAACAAACAATCAAAAGGATTTGAAGTCCATGTGAAAACAGAATATATATATATATGGGCATATTCCAAAAACAACATCATTTATTTACTTCTCTAGCAAATTCACTCTCTCTTCCGTTACATTTAATTCATTCAGTATAAAAAGAAATGCAGAACATGGGATTAAAAATAATTAACCCAAAATCTTGTAGCAATGGTTCCAACCGTCTGTATCATGTCTCAGTCTCAGAGCTGCTCTTTACCTCCTTAGACGGTGCAAATTGCTTACTAAGCCGGGACTTCGTCCAGGGATCCAAGGCAGGTCTTTGTGGAGGTTGAGGTGTCGGTGGTTTTGACTGTCTAAGCTCATTTTCTCTGTCAATGAACCTGTTCAGTAGGTAACATGTAAGATCAAATTAAAAAGGTCAACCTCAGAAGATTGCTCAACATTTCCTCACTCCACTATCTCAAAAGAAATGCCACATATGCAGATACAGTTAAAATACACCAGATCACCAAAGGGGCAAAATTAAGTATTTAGAAGTTTAGTTTCAGGTAATCTAACTCCCGGTAATCTATGTTGTTGAGGGTATCTCATATGCATACAAATATATAACCCGATAGAATATTCATGATCTACATGTAAGATGCCTGGATAAAAAAAATCAAAATTTGATTCTGCCGCCAATAAATTCAGGTAACAAGGAAATACAGCTTTGATTGAAAATTTGTAGAGCAGCATAGCAGAAAAATCTTTGTATTAAAACTTCCCGCAGGAAATACATAAACAACAGCCTTACTCAATATAGGCCATTGGGGCAGCATCACCAACTCGTATCCGAGTCCGGAGCAATCTTGTATATCCACCAGCTCTATCTCTGTAAGTACAACATTGACCAATGAAGCAATGTATGCAGCAAAAAAATGGAAGAAAGAGCAACAGGTTTTGAAATTCACTTGTATCGATAAGCCAATTCAGTGAAGAGCTTGTGAATGACATCATCTCCCCGCACAAAGGCAGCAGCACGCCTTGCAGCACAGAGGGTACCCTGATAAGTTCACAAGGGAGTAAGGTAATACTGGGAAATGAGAAGCAATTGACAGAAATAAACCTATAGAACAAAAGAAATATGCCCTTTCAACCAACAAAAATTGGTGCAGCTTTAGACAACCATCTCCCAGTTTAGGCCTAACCAGGTTTGAATTACGGAATTTAATAGGATTCATGGAAGTATTTTTTAAATCACATTATCTTATTTTATTTTTCATGCTTTAGTTAACTTAAGATGTTAATACAGAGAGTAGAACTTCTATGACTAGTAAATTACATACTGCTTTCGAGATGAAGGGAAGAAATGACCATTCAGCCTATCCCAACATGTTCTGTGTAGCTTTGTTGGATTGAGTTAATGTGGAAATTACAAGTTCTCTAATAAAGCATACATGTTTTGTGATACCCAGATCCGGAATTTGGTCTGGAATAAATTTTCATGTTATAAAAATAATTAAAAACATTAATTAAATTTAATTTAATTTAATTATTTAAGAAAAATAGGTTAGGAATATAATTGAAAGTAATTTTAAAAAAAATATGTGAGAATTTGAGTTCGGACAATGTTTTGAAAGAAAAATTGGAAACAGGAGGTTAAAATGCAAAAAGAAAAAATTCGGCCATGTGAGACAATCCAGTGAACAGCCCTGACGAACAAGAACACGCTATGTGGCAAAACACGCTGATATCGGTGCCACGCGGGTGATCCGTGTGCCCAGCATTCCGACGGCCCAGATTCGATCCCGCACGTGTTAACGACTAAGATTCATTTCCTCTTCAGGCACGATCAAGCGAACGAGATCAATCGTGATGAACGGCTCAGATTCACCCACACAATCGGCCTAAACAGGCAACGATCGGACGACTCTCCTCGCTCCACGTCGACGCGAATGGACAGCCCAAATCGACATAGGATGAGTATATAAATATTGCGTCGTAGGGGAACCCTAACCGTAGCTGCCCTGCCCTCGCCGGAGAAGAAAGTCCAGCCGTCGGAGAAGGAGACCGACCTCCGGTCGCCGCTGTACTGTAGCCACCGCCAACCGCCAGAAAAGGTAAAAATTTTCCCATACCTGCTCGGAATTCGATTCCAAGTCTCCCTGTGGCCATATCGGAATAAAAGGGACGGCGGGTGAGCCAGAAACCGCAGGCAAAGGCCAACAGAGCTGCCACGACCAAAACCTTAAAACCCCTCCGATAAGCCCCTTCCCGCTTCCAGTTTCACAAAATTTTTTGATCATTGTGTTCACCGTCCTTTTCTGTGTAGGTTAGCCGAAAAAGAAACCCCAGCTACGAAGGAGAACCGGCAGAGCTGCCGCACCCAGAGATCCCCCGCCGGTAGATTCGGTTTTTTGTGATTTTCTGGCCAACCAAGGCCTCGTAACGTGTTTTTCTGCAAGAATACGTGTAAAACCGGCCAAAACCAGGCAAGCAAAGACGAACCACCGTCACGGGCGGCAGAGCCAGCGTTGAAGCACGGAGCCGCCGTCATGCCGGAACCCTAAAATTGAGCAGGAAGGATTTTCGACACCGATTTAGAATTTTTGAGGTAGTTTTAGTTTCGTGACAAGTATTTTGGATTCCCACATAAAAATTTAAGAAACATGGGACCCGTTAGGAGATAGTGCGATGTCTCGAAACACCGATTCAAGTAAGGATCCCTCACCCTATTCTCGATTATGGTAAATTGAAAATCAATAATCGATAATTGTGTGTTTTGTGAAAAATTAGAAAAAAATCCTAAAAATATTATAAGTCGTTAGTAGAGGCGAAACTGATTAGTTCACATTTGTCCTGATTCCCTATTTATTTTCCTATACTGTTTATATTTGTTTACTATTAAACTGTGCGTAATTGAATTAATGGTTTTTATAGTCTTTTCAGTTACTTAGTTATTTGGTTCCTCCTGCATTATTTATTCGATATTCTGGTTATTTGTTATTTAGTTATTTGGTTATGCTAAATTATATCGTTTGTTTAAGTGTCATTTGAATTAATATGTGAATATAAAATGAGATATTGGTATGTCTTAATAATTGCTTGGATGATAAGAGTCTAAATAAATGAAAACTTATTGGACATTCTGGGAAAGAGTGGACGAACCCGGTACATAAAGAACCTTATTGTGAACATTATCTTAATCGGACGAGACTGAGAAGTCCCATACCGGAAAAGTTTTGAGAGATATGATTCACTCTTATACCAGACGGGGTATCGAGACGATAGTGTTTTTAGCGCCCATTACCGGACGGGATATAGGAACGGCCGGATTAATTGTCAATCTCGATACTGGATCCACAAGTAGATGGATATCCCTATGAATTCTCAAAGATCCCAGTAAGTAGGTTAAAAAGAAATGATTACTGATCCAATGCATGAAATTGAAATGACATTTTATTAATTGTTTTCATCGGTTGATTTTGAGAAAAACTGTAATGGTAAGTATCGAATAAAAAGTTTTAAAATTAAATGTATTTATTTAAAATAAGAGCTCTTATTTAGTGTGACATTCTTACTGAACTATTGTAACTCTCCCTTTCATTAACCATTTCAGATCAAAAATATCAAGATGCAGATCCTGATCAGTAAGAGAGTTGTGAATAACCCACTTTCCGAACGCCCTTTAAATGCCAGTGAAAGTTACTCTATGATACTTATTCATTCGTTTTTCTTTAATTACCGGTTGTTTTTTATAAATCACGTAAAAGGGATATTCCCGTAACTCTATTGGGCAATTCAATTTATTGTGTAAGGAATGTAAACCCTAACGTTATTATTCGCTTCCGCATTTAAATTATAAATTTATCTACTTTAAAGTTCCGGATCTTAACATGTTTTTTTCTTCTTTTTAATTGGTAGAAAATTTTTGTCTAAAGCAACTAGGGGGCCACCACCTCATGTACAAACACTACATGTTACATACACAATTTAGACATTCCTTTATATCTTCCTCATTCACCTGAGAAGTCTGCCACACCAAAATCTTAGGGTATGAACCACCTATCCACCAAAGATGACGAACATTCAACACGATCAAAATCAAATGCCCTCAATCCCATTTCTTTCAACACCAATCATTTGAAAAGCTTTAATGGGAACCAACCCTCCAACTTCAATATCACCTAAAAGGTCCATATATCTTTCCAAGCCAAAGTTCATTCTCTATGCAGCCACCAGCCAACCACCACTTAATTTAACCCTGTCAAAGAGAGTCATTTCACAATCACATAAAATCCAGACATAACTGGAAAAGATGAAGAGGCAAAGCACTTTGCAAAGAAAACGACTAACAATTCCATAATCTCGCAATCCCATCAAAATATTGTAACATTTCCAATTTCTGCTTTCTCCTATTTGTTACTAGGATTAAGTATTCCATGAATTGTGTAACACCTTACTCTAACCACTACTAGCTCAACAACCTTTTGGATCCAAACCATTGAGTTTCAAAATCTTAAGTTCAAGTTATTGGTAGTATGTGACTTGAGCCTTTATATGAAACTCAATAATCACATACTTTCCGATGTAGATTAGAATATGAAAATCTCCATCACTCAAATCCTAGATTTGCTTGTACCAGATCTCGAACCCATGCTCTTCCATGACTGCCCAAGTGGAAGAGCCACCGAAGAACAAGAGAGAGTAGCCACTCAAATCCTTGATATCCTCATTAAAGCCATATTTTATGCAATCACAAATCATAACCCAAAGGCTCATAAATTCCAAGATCTTACTAAGCGTAGTGACCAAATTGGCACGCCCTCTAATACCATTTTCAATACCCCGATTCTGAGCACTACCAACCCAACAACTTTTGCAATCCAATCCACTAGCTCTCAAAAACTTAAGCTCAAACTGTTATTAGCATATGACCCGAGTTTTTATATAAAGCTTAACAAAGACATATTTTTCCGATTTGGGATTGGGGTATCGCAAGTTAAGGTGCTGATAAATAATGAGGTAAATCCCCATATTTCCAGCTCTAAGATGACTATATGGCAAGACCAGTCAGTAGTGGCTACTATAATCCAAAAGTTAAGTTGCTCTCATCCTTCTAAACTCTTGGTTCATCCTTTGACTCATCTCTGCTTTTGCAACTCTTTAAATACATTGGACAGATACTACTTTCTAGATAACAGAAAGCTAGCATATTTAAGGCATATATTCTGACTTTAATCCTTAGCAAACAATCATTTTTGGATGTGAAACCATAAGTATAATTTTTCTGATAAGCAATAAACACACCCGTCCACAGAGAATGCGCATACAGCAAAAAAGATTTGATTTCCAAAACTTTTCAATGACTAGTAATTGATGTTAAACCACATTCAAGAATTCTGCACCTTTTAGAAGCCATGGGACAAGCCCGACTTACCACTTGAACTTTGTAAAAGTATATCACATTGGCAAGGACTAAGCATATTATACTTCTTTGGAAGTTTAAAAAAAAGACCGGGAATTATACTATAGATATAAGCCTGATCATAATCCAAAGACAATTCCTCATACTGACCTCTTTACCCAGCTGTACCATATTATCTGCAAGTCTTCGAATTTCTTTTGCCTGCACGTGCAACATTACAGAAAAACAAGCATATATCTTCAGTACATCCTTTTATCAGTTAATACATATCAAAGGAGAAGAGAAAACAAAATCAAAACAATAATAGAGGAATCAATCGGCAGCCATATAACCAAAACGGAAACTGAGTGTTAAAAGCCATATGATGAGCAAAACAGTCTATTTAATTTTACACAAGCAGACTAAAAAGAAAATAGAAACCGAAACTAATTTGCAGCTTAACTATATAAAACCCGAAATTAAGTATTTAAAACACAGAACTCAATCTCCGAAATTAATTTGAACTAAGATAGTCCCAACCATGCCAAACCATAACAGTAGAATTTCCAATCCCAGAAATAGGTAACATATATTTCTCAAAAAGGGTTTAAACCCAGTTAAAACCCTGAAATGTACATAAAGAAAAGCATAAACCTTTGCAACAGTCGTTTCGATACGCTCGTGTTTCACCAGCTGTGAGACCATTGTCCTGTACACAAGAAGAAGCAAAACGGAAATAAATAAGTAGTAAAACGAACAAACAGTACTTTTCTCCAAATCAAACCAAGATTGAACATAATTGAAAACCAAGAAAAAAAAAACCTGAGCATAGACATACGATGACCGGTGGGTCGATTAAGCTTTCTAAACTTGGTCATTTTGAAGGAGAGAGAAACAAGAGCTGAGAAAGAGATGAGAAAAACCCTAACGAAGAGCAGAGAAGAGATCAGGGAAAGCACAACTGGACGAGCAGGGACGCAGAAGCAGCAGCGGCGGCAAAGTGATGCTTGAGTTAAAATTCACGATCACCCCAATTAGCCCAATCTGATACTTGGCTATTGGGCTGAGCATCAGCCTAACGTCAACGAGAACAGCCATGACCAGAGCCAGCCCGGCCTCGAAATCGAGGCCTGTGTCGAAACTAATAGAACCCTGTTTGACTTAATTTTTATGAAATTTTTAACAGTGTTTTTAAAAATCTAATTAAGTTAATGTATTTAATTCTTGAGTCAACCAATAAATTTGTCAATCAATTTCATTGATCTAAACAAAGTAAGACAGTATTATGTAATCACTGCAATTTCACTATCTATATATATATACATATATATATAGTCTGGCAAACATAGAATCTTTCAAGTCAAGTTTATCATTGGCTTTGGTCATGAACCTTGGAGAAGGGAGAAGAAGATAAGGCTAAAAATAGAAAAAATGAGTGCAGTGAAGTGTGGAAAGTTTTGCTCCCCATTGTTTTCTGCCAACTGTTTTTCAAAATAGCCACTGGTTTTTGCCCCTCTTCTCTCATCTCATGTCTTGTCAATATATATACATATATACACACACACACACACACACACATATTATGTCACCTTTTGGATAATATTATATTATCTTCTATATAGAATTTGGAGTTTTATATATATATATAGACTATAAGTTTTAAACTGAGAGTTTAATCAGATGGGTGTTTGCTCATAGGTTGCCATTTTTTTTTTGCTAAATTTAATATAATTTCTGGGATCAGACAGAATCTATCTTGAGGGACTCATCATCAATCAATGCTCTTCCAACTGTTCCTCACCAACATTATTATCATTTAATTTTCCCTTCACCTAATTATAAACATTTTTTTACTATTTTTAATTACACGTAAATTTGTATATATGTATATATAACATATATGCCATAAATTATTATATTAATAAATGTTTTTCATAAAATTTATAAACTACTAACAATCAATTTTAATGAATATACGATACTACAACTCAAATATTTATCTTACAAGATAATTTATTTTCAAATTGAGACACCACATTTTTAGGTTTGTGTTCATAATAAATTCTAAATTTTATTAAAAATAATAAAATTTAAAACACTAAAATTTTATTTTTTAAATTACTAATGTTTCACTTATTATAAAAAAAAAAAAAAAAGTCAGATGAGCGTTAATGTTGTATACATATAAAAGATTGGAATGATGCCTCTTATACTTTACATGTATTATCGGCTTTCGTAGCTGTGTGACCCCTGGGCTCGATGTTGTTCATCAAATGATTACTTTAGATTATTCAGTAACTACACATATTCAGAGATAACAATTACTTACTTATACATCAACTTTGATTTTCTATTAGTGCCAATAAAGTTTAAAGATGAATAACTCAAAATTAATAATTTTACAGTTTTAGTGAAGAAGATGATGATGGGTAAATTTTCTCAGTTCAATACAATCTATACATAATAATGACTGTATCTAATAAGGTGTGTGTACTTAGACAGAAAGAAATGCAAGAAAACAAATTTTACATATGTGTTGTTCCTATCAAAATAATTATTCAAGTACAGGTTATCACAATTTAGTACTTCTTTTTCTTTTTAAAACACTTAAGAGAAAAGAAGCACCGAAAACACATCCCAAATACTTGGTGTAATTATTTTCAGATTAAAAAAGAACAAAAAAAAAAATATACAACATAAATAGTACAAGGAAAAAGACAAAGCTTAATTGAAATGTTCTATCAAACTCATCCAAGCCAATCTCAGTACATCTTTACTTTAGCGGTCAAAATTTGAGAAAACTCTAGGCAAAATTAAATTAACTACTGATTAAACTCACCTGTGGCGCCTACAACAGCTCTTCTTTTTCATTTTTTGAGTGAAAATTAGCCTTAAAACACACACATATGTGTACATATATAGATATATCAAGTACAACAATTTATACCCATGTCAGAAAACTGGATAGTCAAGGCAGATCTTCCGCCGCCGCTGGTGCTGTCACCTCCGCCGCTACCACCCACGTCTCTTCTTTTGGGTTTTACCGTGGGAGGTGACCAGTTGCCATAATTACCATTACTGTAACCACCATTAACAGTTTTACTTATTACTTTTACTGCTTCTGTATTTACCATCCCTGAGCTAGGAGCGGTAGTAATCCTAGTGTTGATCTTGCGACAAGTAGAAGAAAGCCATTTGCACTGCATGTAGGTGGTGGTCCTCCATGGAGGTATATGGAGGCCTTTCTCTCTTAGGGACTGTTTTGCTGCCGAGCATAACAGACTGATTATCTTGCTGATCTTCTCCTCATTTGCAACAAAAATGGAGGGTAATGTGTCTGTAAGTTCCTTATAATCTTGGGTTGGTCTTGCTAGCTCAAATTGAGACTTGAAATCTATGTCAACTATCAGCCTCGTTGGATCACCATTAGTATCATCTTTTAGTATAACCTCAATATATTCATATTCACCTGTTTAGTTAACACACAAATATTTGCATCAGAAACCCATATGTACTCTTAAAATAAAGAGGAATAGAACATACGTGGTATATGTATATATGTGTGTGTACGTATATGTAGGGATTAAAGAGAGAGACCCCACCAGCAGGGCATCCTAAGGAAGTGACCCAAGAAGTTTGACAAAGAGAAGCATCATAACCATCCGTTTTCAACTTCATCGCCAGCCACTGATTTACCCCATCACCATTAATACTACTCTTCTTCGCTCCTCCATCTGATCTTGTCTTTCTCATATGCTTCAGCACCCTTTCAAGAACCTTCCTCTCGGCTTCCATCCCACTCCTAAGGATCTCCTTTCATAGATAATCACAAACCCAACAAGATAAAATCAAATTAAAGAACAATCGGAAAGCTTAGTTGGCGTAACTGGAAAGAAATGAGACAATTTAAGAGTATATAGTACCTGCAAAGACAAACACTTGCTTTGGTGGGTGAGACGGAGAGGAAGAGAGTTTGAGGTGGAACAAGTAGTGAAAATAGATGGAGGGGATGAAGATTCTGATTCTATAAAATCATGTACCATTTGAACAAGTTCATCTTCTTCGAAGCTACCCATCTTTTGATCTCTCTCTTTTCTTCCCTTTGTTAAAAAGCTCCAAAAAAATGGAGAAACACTTGAAGGGTGTTGTCTTGTCTAAACTCTAAAGGGGTCTTGAAGAGCGTTTCCCCTTATAAATTTAGAGGCAGACTGTGGACTGAGGGTGGTTATGGCGGTGGAAAATACAACCTTTCTATGATGACAGATGAGATCATTGTAATAAGAGCCAGCAGCCAGGAGCCAGCCAGCCAGCCAGGAGTGTACTACATTTTATACTCATCTTTGGGGGATGGTAAATTCTAAGCGCAGTAAAAAAAAACTAAACGAAGGTAAAAATTTGACATTGGGGAGCATATTTTACAGCATATACTTGTTTAAAAAGCTTTCTTTTCTAAAAAAGAAAATGAAAATGAGAGAGGTTTGGATTAGTCAGAAAAGGGTTGCAGAGGATTGGTGACATGTGTAGGTGGGAAAATCCTTCTTGGGGTACTTAGCCCTACATACCTCCTTTTGAGTAGCTAGCTGGGGCCTGAACCACTACTTAATATACATATACATATATATATATATATGGATTTGGAAGAAAATGATTAATAGAAATTATTTTGGGTAAATATATAAATCCAGCTCCTTGTGTAATTACTTAAATAAGAATATGTTCTTCTCATTGGGGTTCCTATGTCTAAATTATTACCCATATATTAACTTCTGTTATTTCGGAGATTATTTGTTTTTTAATGGAGGAATTACTAAAGGTTAAGAGTACAATTTATTACAAAGGTAGTTTACATTATTATTTTTCTAAAAATATTATATATATAGTTATAATTTTTCAGTTGTTTACAATGTTATTATATTTTTTTTTTAAAAAGGAAAATTTGCAATTGAATTGCAACAATATTTTCACCAATTTTTCTCCATTGATATTTCAACATCAAAACATAGAGTTATAAATGTAAAATTTCTTATAAAATTATCAAGATAGTTGTTTTCACAATTTTTATACGAATATAAAATAGTAACAAATTTAATATGAATTTTGTAATAATTTTACATCAAAAGATAATTAGTCGATGAATAAATCATTGTAAGGAAGTCATATTAATTGAAGTAATTTTTTTACTATACTTGGAAAATATTGAATTGTTATAGTATAATAGCAAAATTGTGGCAAATGACCAATTCGAGAAAATCATTAATGCAAAGTGAGATTACAAGTATTCATGTCATGAACATCTTAGGGATGGGTCATGGAGTTAATGCTAACATGACTAAACATAGGACCAAGGTTCAAGCACTAGTTGGAAAGTTGATGGTAATATAAGTGACACCACGAAGAATGGTGGTGGTGATAGTCAAGTAATCTAATAGTAAAATTACTAAAGGGGTATGTTTTTAACTTAGTTGAAGTAATTAAAAAAAAAGTTATAAACTAGTTGTAAAAGTTATTGTTGCTCTGCTTCATTCTTTTGTCGTTGCTTTTCGAGCTAACAAAAGAACTTAGAATTGAGGTTTTCAACCCATATTAGAGGTGTTTCCTTTAATAACATAATTAGCAACATGTTGCCACCATTCTGACTCAATCTGTTGGTAAATATGTATAAAGGGCTCTTATCTAACCTCTTAAGCATCCTAATTCTAATCTCTCAATTTTTGTTCTAGTATGCTTCAAAATAACATTAAACATTTATGAGTAATAAGTTTAAGATTAATAATTTTATTGATTTAGCTATTACTATAGGAAAATATTTAATGTTAGACTATTTAATTAGTGTTATTTTCCTTCAAATTATTGCTTCCCTAGATGCATATAAGGGCATCATAATTCGTATGTGACATCCAAAGACATACATTGTAACAACCCAGCCCGAGAGGAACAATCCAACCCATCTGCTTCTTAGAAGTAGGAAAAGCCCAAAACGATGCTGTTTCGATAAGCAGGTGAAACGACATCGTTTTGAGAGCATCAAAACGATGTCGTTTTAGTGACAGAAAAAGAAAAAAAAAAGGCAACCAGAGGCGTGTATGCCTCTAGCTGTTGAAGAAGAAGAGGAAGAAGAGGCATGTACGCCTCTTCCCTCCATCGAATAAGGAGGAGGAAGACCAGTATGGGGCTTTCCTCTCTCTGACTATAAAAATGGAGAGAGAGCGAGCCATGCAGAGGGAGAGTGGTGCGAAGAGAAAGAAAGAGATCTTTGTAGAGAGAGAGAGAGGGGGGAAATCAGAGTCGCGGCTGTCATCAACCTGCACAAGGCGCTCCGTGATGGTGCACGGCTCTCGCGACGTGCCGAGGAGTCTAAGCGGCTAAGGACTTACTTGGAAACCAGAGAGAGAATCGTGTAACGGCGTGCATCCGAAAAAGGAGATCCACGACGGTTGACCGTGCGATTTCACATATTCCTAGCTCCGTCCGGCGCAATTTTGCCATGTACGCGCCAAATCCGTATACGTGAAACATTTCATGGTGAATTCTGGTCAATTCACGGTGGTTTGCGGTAGTGCGCGGTAGTTCAGCTGGTGATCCTACGGCAGTGCTCCGACAGTGACACGTTGTGAATTGGGGACACGCGTGTGGTAGCGCGTGGTAATTTCGGTGATCGGGATCGTGTTTCTATGGTAAATCTCAGTCCGCTTTTGTATTTAATTATTTTCTCAAGTATTCGTAATTTAACCCCACGTGTTTTTATTTGTAAATGAGAAAATTATCTAAACAGTAATCGAAATTCAGAGAAGACTGTAAACTCAAACCAATAAGAATTCCAATACTTTTTTATTCGACTGTAGGTAAGGGATTAGGTTAGTCTTATTCAGAGACTCTCATATTTTTTATGGAACCTTATTTTTTGTTAAAATGATTGTTTACAGACTTTACAATTCTACCACGAGTTCTGTGAACTCATCATATTCGCATGTGGGCAATTGCATATGATTGAAAACCTACATGATATTGTGTATGACATATAATTATATATTTATATTGTTACTAATAGGTATATGCAGATTTTATGCATGCTAGTTATCGAGTTATAGGTGTGTGTGATGTATATATATATATATATATATCTGTATAATGTGTAACGTGTATATGTATGAGTAAACAACTTGTATGTGTCTATTTATATAATACATACATGTCTTGTGTAAATATACAAGTATATACATGTTGCATGTGTTGTGTGTTTATATATACTTATTTGAGTCGATAACTACGCGTATAAAGTGTATGTATTGTGCTTGTTGTATAGACTTGTTGATGTATAATATATATATATATATGATACATAAGTAGGTGCATGTTTGAGTAGGTCATCTGGTAGTGAACCTGATTAATAAAAGAATAACATAAAAATATTTAAAAGACGAGAAAATCTATTTAACCGATATCATCAAGGGGTGTGTGTGTGTGTAGCCTTTTGGCGTGTGAATGTGGTGAACCTTACGCGTGGATACGGTTTCAGCCAAACGTCACGAATCTATAAGAACTGTAAACTGTATACTGTTTACTACAAACTGTAAATTGAACTCTAACCTATTCACGTAGTAAGAGGGATCCTTAATGCTCTCATTGATGCCGACAGAAACAACATCGAGCGGTGAAACTATTTTTAATAAGATATAAACTAAGAGGAAGAAATAGGAAGTCATTAGTAAAATTTACGATACTGAAATACTGAATTGATATCTACTGATCTTTTTATTGCTTAAATTATGATATTGAATACCGAATTATACTATTTATGAAACTGTTATGTCCTGAGTTATGATACTAAAATAAGGAATTCTGAATGAACTGATTTAAAAGATTTGGTGATTGAGTGTGTGCATGTTTTTGTTGTGAGCACAATCCATTTTTCTTACTGAGTCCGTGAAGCTCACCCCAATTGACACCTCCCAATGCAGATTAGTCCAGATTAAAAGTAAGTTCAAGATCGAAAGAAGACTTTGAAAAATGTTTAGTAATAGTAAAAAATTTATTTTGTAAAGTCAGTTTATTATATAATAACGATGTAACGTAAAGAATTTTGTAATTTCGTACAGGGATGATTGAATTTTAGGTTTTCATTTGTTATTATATAAATTTATCGTGTTATATGTGTGGAGTAACGCTCATTTCTCCACGAAAAAAACAAATCGTTACACACGTACTTGCATATCTCTTGTTGAAAATATTTATTATAAAAAAAAAAGGAAACATGTATTAAGTTAAAATTTAATAATACTAATTTTAAAGTTTTAGAGGAAAAATTATTTTAGCTTAAACTCTTCAAACCAAATATCCTTAATGAACATGATCACAAGCTTTTATTCGGTCCAAAGATGGTGAAATTAAGAGTGTATGATCTGCCGAATGGTGGAGGATCAACACTGGGGCTAGCGCCAATCCAATTAGCAAATAATTACTGTAAATAAAAATAAATGAATTAATAGAAAAATAATATTTATTTATCCTTTATAATATGTGGGTTCTTTTTTTTTTTTTTTAATTATATGTTTTTAATAGCTTTTGGTATTAATAATAAAGATTATAACGTAGAAAAAATAAAAGAGAAAAACATATTTTCAACGGAAAGAGAGATTACAAGAAATTTTTGTATAATAATTTATGAACAACTATTTATTTGTAATTTTTTAGTACATCATTTTTAATTAATAAAAAAATAATATATTTGAGTCAAATTATATTTTTATTTAAAAATTATTATTTTTATATTATGATTGATATTTTATATACAATATATATAAATTTGAAGGGGCTAAATGTAATATTAGTGAATTATTATTATAATTTTTACGGGAAAAAAAAAATAGTACGTGTCTTATTGTATTAGATAAGAGACAAAAGTTATAAATGCCAAAACAAATTTAAGAAGAACAGAAATGAAAGATTACTTATGACTGAGATGGCAACAAATAAATATGTGGACACAGAATGTTAATAAAATAAAGAAGACAAAATGAAACAAGTTAACGGTGGAAAAAAATTGAGTGGAGGCGGCAAATCCCAGAGAGTAAGGAGATACATATACATATACATATACATATATATATATATGTATATTTATCAAAGGAAGTCGTTTTCCAAGATTATGATATCTTAATCCACTTAAAATCTTGGTAATAAAATATTTTCAAACTATCATAATAGAACGTCTTGAAAGCAGATGCGATATTTATTACTTTGGGAATGGAAACTATGGGAAGAATAATGGGAACAATACTCCGACATCAACTACTGTTCACACAATCTAA